CCGCAATCCCTTCTCCTCCATTCTCCTCTCGGGATCTTGGGCACGCACGCACACGCGCCCGGCGTGAGTTTTAAGCCACCGGGTCCGGGACACGAACCGCGGTCGACTACGTGGGAGTCCAGCGACATAGCCATTACGCTAACTGCTGGTTCCCAACCTAGCTCCTTTTGACCCCTAAAGCAATTTCCATTGTGGACATTGTGTAAGGGGTGTGCATGTGTTTCTCTCCCTTCTATGAATGCTCCATGGGACATTTATCATTCACGGACCCTTTAAATTAAACACTGGTGACCAGTGGTCTGTTCCCTGAAAGTTCTGGTCCATGCAGAAGTGGATGGAGAGGGGCCAGCAGGTGGAGTGGTGGTTAAGGTGCTGGACTCCCATGTGGCTGACCGTGGTTAGAGTTCCAGACCTGGCAGCTAGTTTTCTTTCTTTCTTTTTCTCTATCTCTCTCTGGTGAGCACATGTGCCCTATAGCAAATAAAAATTAAAAAAAATAAAATAAAAAATTTTTGAGAGGTTTTTGCTATAGGGCGAGTGCGCTTGCCAGAAAGACAGACAGAGAGACAGAGAGACAGAAAGCGAGAAATCACCCCCCAGGGGGCATGGCCACGCCGCAGTCCCTTCTCCTCCATTCTCCTCTCAGGATCTTGGGCACGCATGCACACGCGCCCAGCATGAGTTTAAGCCTCCAGGTCTGGGACTCGACCCGCAGTCGACTATGTGGGACTCCAGCGACATAGCCATTACGCTAACTGCTGGTCCCCAAATAAAATATTCTTTAAAAAAAATGTGGATGGAGAAAGAAGATAAAGGGATGGAGCAATAGCCCTGCAGAAAAAGAGAAACCTAGAGAACTGATCTGTCCAAACTGCAGAAGTTAAAGCCTTGAAGACATTTCCTGGAGACGCTGCCGAGGTGAACTGACCTCTCACATATCTTTCAAGGCGGGCTGGAAATGGTGATGCTGTGTTCACCTGCCTTGGCGACTGCTGTGTTGTCTACAGACCAGCCAGGAGTCCCAATGTGAATACAGATAAATGCAGCCAGACACCCTCACCACACACACCCTGCCTGCCCCTCTCCTGCCCCCTGTGCATGATGCAAATATGACCAATGGCAGAGGTTGGTCCCCTTCCTTAACTGCATTTGCTGCATGGGCTTTGGTGCCCAACTATCCCCCACTTCCCATTGCACAGAAGAGAAAAGACTCAAAGGATAACAACAGAATGTCCACAATGCAAAGGTGGAGGGAGAGGTTGTTCAGTGAGGGAAGCAAGGAGGATGTCTTGATCAAGAGGGTGTTTGAGTTACAGGTTGAAGGGTGGCAAGGTTTCAACCCAAGGACAGGGGGAAAGGCCATTCCAGATAGAGGAACAGCAGAAATCAAGGTGTGGTGACAGGACAGCCAAGGAGGTCTGTGGGAAATGGAAAGTTCCTCTCTGGCTACTGGGCAGGTGCACAAGGCAGACGTGGAAAGCAATGGGTTCTTCCGTGTGTCCTGTAGAGTGGGATGTTCAGCAG